TTAAATTGATTTGTAACGTCATATTTTCTGATTAGAGTGCCGAGATGCAAGCCTCTAATTGAATTATAAAACTGAATAATTGATGTGAATGAACCGATCCAAATGAGAGAATTCCGATACTTCACTTCCTGAATTCATTGATTTTAATTTTACCAAATTCGATTACACAATTGAGAGAACGATTCAGTCTTTTTGATCCTTTAAAATATTCTTCCATCTCCCTATGGATACGACACCCCAAATCTGCACTACAACTATCGCGTTATTCTTTGGACGTAATCAAACCTCATTATCCATTTTTCAAAGTTCGGGAGCCTAATTTCAATTAATTTTTATTGAAATTGTATATGAAAATTATTATTCCACATTTAAAATTTATTTTTACTTATATCTAATCTAACGGGATTCCAAGTGGTCATAATTTATTTATTTGTTTATTATTGTTATGCAAAATGGTTTGCCACTTCGAATTCTGACATCTGTGTATTTGTTGAAGCGTTGTTTCCAGACACACATTCATTCCAATTGACACTTTTTCTCCGAGTATGTTGCCCATTTGCAAAAAAAGGTTTTTAGGCATTTGAAAGGAAAGGGGAAAAAAAATCGCCGCACAGCGAGGAGAGTGCAATCCATATTATTATTATTATTATTATTATTTTTTAACTTCGTAACACCTATCTTAATATCAACAGGGGAAACCATAGAAAATCCGTTATGAGGCACACATGGGACAGCAAATAAAAAGCAGGAATGAGATCCTGTCTCCAAAGTCCATTTATTTCTCAAAAGTAAAACCCAGCATTCATTTCTGCTAATTAAACAGACTATAGCACGATGGGCGCCTTTAAAGGAATCCACGTCTTCAAGAGATTGAGGGCCGATGTCTGAATCTTTGAGGATGTTTTGGGTAACACCATTGTCCTCCATACTGCAAGAAATGGCTTCAAAGAGTAGCTCCTTCACTTCGTGGAGTCTCTCTTCAGACAAGGAAACCTCAGCTAGGAGCCTCCAAGCATTTTCCTCGGAGGCCTTCTCATAGTCCTCCTTCCTTTTGAGTACCATATGAGTGATATGTCCAGTAATTTCCCAAGCTGCTGGATCAACTTGAGTGTTTAAGAACTCAAAGCTCACTTCCCCAAGAGCCTGTTTCTCTGTATAGTACTGTTCAACATCGGAAGTTAGCAGAACTCCAACTGAAAAAAAAAAAAAACACCTATAATTGCTTGTATGTAAAACACGTTAAATAGGGTTGCAAGAAAATGGCATGGAACCAAAAAAATCACCTGTGGGATGAGGAAAATTCGTCTTCCAGAATCAGCAATAAGAACATTATACGGAATGTTGTTGTCTTGCAAGCAAATGCTGGAGTCAGAGACATCATTCGAAAATTCATCCAGAGTATTTCCACACTCGAAAACAAGACCTCTGATTGGATAATTAAGAATATCACAGATTTTCACACCCCTACTGGTGGTTATCTTCCTAGTGGGAGCCATTTCAATGGGTAATGTCACAGCTAAGTAATAGACCTGTCGGCTGTCGTCATAGTAATTATACAATTTCTGTTGAGATGCAAACAACTTGAACCAATTATTTACTTCCTGGCAAACAAAGAGAAAGGACAGATAAAAACCTGGAAATGAAGGTGGTTGATGGTTGCAAATGCACCCAAGCTATTTTAACCCAAGCGGAAGTAGGGATTTTGGCTCCGGCAGCCATGTAGAGGGCAAGCAAGAAGCTGTCCCGGTCAATCCTTTGAGGTAAGCGTTCAAGAGTCTGAGGAATTAAGACATGTCCATATTCAACAGGACTGACCTATATATTTATACAAACCATACCAAAAGTTAACAACCTGCCTACTACAAGTTTCACCAAAACACCTTCGAATAAGATAAAACCAAAGGAACAGAAACGTAAATTGATGGCGACAACGCTAGGAGAATGCTGGATATGAATAGGTGCATTTGGAAAGAACTGGACTTCATTATCCATGCTTGGTTCAAATTGAAAGAGGACTTCCTCTGGCCCAACCTCAGTGAAGTTGAACTTATTTTCATCGAAGGGCTGCAAGACCTTATTAACTCAAAACTCAGTTGGCCTCTTCTTGAGGTGCCTGCCTTCATTCAGTTGTGCGATAAAGCCATATTGACCCGGAATCACCTAAGAAAAGCATCCGCATACAATTAAACGCAACAAAGACAAATAAAGCAACTACAGAATTTTTAACCGCAACATGAAAGGCCCAGAAATACACGAT